CTTAGAGCCTGGACTCGAGCGATGTGTATTTCTCCTAATGAAACCCAAAGCCAGGTGAAATTTTTGGGAGAGAGGAAACAGGATATGGAGTCCCTTTGGGGGATGGGGGGGTGTTCATAACACTCCGAAACTTGGCCCACGTTTCTGGTCTCTTCCCTTTCTACTCCACAAAGGGCTTGTAGCATTTTTAGACAAACTTGGATCCATTGTATGTTGTGAGAGAACCTGCTGGGAAATTTGGTGATTCCTGCACTCCAGGGCAGAGGAAACGTGTGTTTCTGCTTTGTGTTTTTAGGAAAGTAGGAAGATGAAATTCAACATAAAACACAGCAGATGGGAATCTCACAGAGACAGACACGGGGAAATGTTTAGACAAGCTTTGTCCCCAGTCCTTGAGCTCAGGATTTAGCAACTAAACCGTAGAGAGACTTCAGAAAGACAATGAAATGCATTTTGGCTTCAAATACAGTTCCTCCAGAATCCAATGCACGTGAATCTGAAGGCAGAATATAGCCAGCAGTATGGGGAATAGATGTAATGTGAGAAACTCTCATGCTATATTATTATAGTCTGAATTGTTTCCATCATTTTGGGTTAAGTAATTCCCCACTATCCATCTCTAAAGTGCAAACAGTACAGCCTTGATGTGCCCCAGGGAAAGGAAGCAAACCAGCCTTTGAATCTTTACCCAACCTTACTGCTCATACTTTGCTTTCAGTGAATAACTGTTCAAATCCTTTAATATTTCATTCCCATAAAAATATATTTACCAGGGGTTTTTGTGGCAGCAGTGAGGCTGTGTTTATTATTTTAGGAACACCACATGACTGGCTTTAGAGAAAAGACAAGGCAGGAGCAGAGAGTGCTGCAAATCTATCAGAGAACAGCATGTTTTCCACCTGTTGAGGCAGCAACCACAAAAACAGATGCACATAATAATTACCTGTACCTCAAAGGCGGCACCAAGTCCTGCACCTTCTGCTCCCCACCTAGCAGACAGCTTGATAATGGAAGTACAAAAGAGGAACACCGAGAGAGTAGGGTAGGTACTGCTTTGTGAAGAACGAAAGAGCAGCTCTTATTAAAGAGAAACTGGAAGGTGGAAGATGAGAAGGAAAGATCTGAGGCACCACGATGCTGAAAGAAGAGTGGAGCTAAGGAACTCCGGGAGCCTGCCTTATTTTTAGTGGTGGTCAGGTTTTTGCTAATACCTTTTCCAAGACTGCTCTCATTTGTACTCTTAACATCAGAGATAATTTCTACTGATAAGTAAGTGCCCCACACACCTACTGGAGCCCACTCCTTCCCAGAGATGGATGGCCCTGCAGTGGCAAGAAGGGCACATACCCCTGTTAGGGTAAGGGCCTCATCTCAGTAAGTGATGCCATGAGTGACCACGACCGTGTGCCAGGGCCCCGTTCCTCTTCCCTTCCCTGCCGCCCGGCACTGGGAGCGTGCTGGAGCTACGCTACCCTTTTGTTTGCCAGTGCACCAGCGCATCTGGTGTAAGGAGAAGGTACGGGGGAACAGGGATGCAGAGCAGGTGACACACATTCGGTCTTTTCTGCTAAAGTGCGGAGGCTTGTGAGGCTCTTTTTCTCCCCTTCCTCCGACTACCAGAAGGAAAGAGGTGACATTGGGCTGGGTGAGGACTCCTGGAGCCCAGACCGTATGAGCTTTGGAGTGGCTTGTACCATGGCAGTTCCTTACTTGCAGAAAGGAACAGATCCTTCCTTGCAGGGATTTGCAGGGGAAGGGATTGATCTCAGCCTCGATTTAATCTTGACAGAAGCAGATGATGAGAAGACTGTGTGCTGAGTTGGAGTTTTCCTTTGAATTCCTACGGTGTTGAAGGCAGTGCTATAAATAGACACAGTATCCTTTTTACCCTGGTACAATTCTGTCTCCAGCTCCCCATATAGACAGCAAGTCTGCTTGTAGGTATTTAGCAGGAATTAATTTAACCCAGTCTTCTCTTTCTGTGCTCTTTTACTTTTGCATCCCGATGGCTTCCACAGCCATATAAACATATTTCCTCAATAAAAATGTTCTGAGGAAGGCTGCTGATATTAAAAAATCCCATTTCTGTCTGAAAATTCTATCCCCGTTACAAATAATCCATAGAAGCCCCAAACTATAAAGAGTTAGTATTAAAAAAAAAAAGGGGGGGCAAAATAAATCCCCCCCACACCCCTCTCAAACTTCTTAATCTTTCTTTTTTTTTCCCCCCAGGTTTTGTTTTTGACCATTTTATTCATAGTCTATTTCACATTTTCTCCAGTATAACTGGCTGGCCAGTTTTCTCCCTTCCCAGGAACGACTCTTGTGAACATCAGCGGAGAAGAAGGAAACCCAGATGCAGTGTTTCATGGCTACTATTTTAAAGATAGACCTGTAAGAAATTTAAATACAAGCCGCATTGGTATTTAAAAAAAAAAAAAAACAAAACAACCAAACCCCTTGAAATTAAGCATCTTTTCCAGCCTGGCCATCCAGCTGGAAAGCAAACTCGAAGTTTGCACACTAGAGTTTCTGAGTGCGCCGGCAGAGGCGATAACCGGGCCTGGCCCTGCCCTTGTCCCCCCGCGCGCGGAGCTGGCTGTGGCGAAGTTCACCCTCCTCGCTGCGTGGATGGAGTTCGCGGCGGGTTGGTTTGTAAACAAGCTTAAAAGTACTCGCCTGGCAGCCGGGGCTCCCGCGCTGAGGGGTCTTGGGTTACCTTTGTTTGGGTAATGCCGCCTCGCTTCCTCCTAACGTGCCAGCTGCGCAACGGTGTTCTAGCCTGCCCCTGTTCGGCTTATTCAAAGTCTATTTTTAATTGCGTTAATTATAAACCATAATCCCCTACCCTCTTC